GAGGTTTTATCTTGGTTATATCTTAATAAAGATGAGCCAAAATATGTTTGCCTTCGTGGACTATTTTATATGTGGAACATTGGCACGAAAAAAATCAAAATGAATGTATTCGATTTATTCCTTGATGCGGCAAATAAAGATGATGTTGTTGCACAATATTTTATCGGAAGATGTTATGAAGTTGGACGAAGTACTAAAAAAGATATGAAGAAAGCAATTAAATGGTATAATAAAGCAATTGATAATGGATGCGCAGCAGCTGAACGGATACTCGGAGATTATTATTTTAGAAACCAGAGTTATTCTAAAGCTTTTAAATTACTCCAAAGTGCAACTGATAAGGGAAATATAATGGCAATGTATAATTTAGGATTATGTTACAAAAAAGGACGTGGAACAGGAGAGAATATGGAAAAAGGGTTTGAATATCTTAAACAAGCTGCTGAAATGGGTGTACCTAATTCACTACGTGAACTTGCTAACTGCTATGAATACGGTGAAGGGACAGCAAAAGATTTGAATAAAGCATCTTATTGGTTTCGAGAAGCTGATTGCTACCATGCTCGAGAACGTGTTACGGCTAAAATCAAGGACAATCTAGTAAATCTGAGTGAATTATCTAATTAACTTTGTTTTTTTACGTATCAAAAAATTTTATTAAAGGATTTAATTTTATAAATTAAGTAGTTCACGTATACTATGAATGTAATTTACATGAAAAATAGCAAACAAATTAGTAGTCCCAGGCCTTATTCAAGGACTGAAATGATTGATGTTTTGCAATATAGTGATATAAAATCGACTAATATTTATTAGTTGACTACTAAAAAACGACCAACCCTCATAGTTATGCAATTTCAGCTATTATTACTATATTTAAATTACTTATAATAGACAACTAGTTTACTAAAAAATTTTAGTCGATTTCAAAGACTAAAAGTCTTAATGAGTAAGTAGCAATGGATAATTTTTGTTCATACTTTGTAAAATAGTTTCAAATTTCTTATTACCACCACTATTAAAAGAATATACCTGATTAATGATGGACTATATGGTACAAGCGTGAACTCTGCATAGAATTATTCACATCATCTACCATTGATCTTTTAACCAAATTATGGTAATGCAAGCCGGTCATTTGAATAATATTAAAGTCCGCGTATCAGCTTATTGATTTGATTAAGCAAACTTATTGATTGGTTATTCCAAAATTATGAAAGCAGCGCTAGTATTTTTAATCATAATAAGTTATCGGGCATGA